AAAAAAAAGGGGGGGGGGGGGGGGGGAGAAAGAAGGAGGTAGAAGGTTTTTTTAGTTTTTACTCCAATGGGTTCTCGTCCTCACCGTTGTCCAATGAGCATAATATGCCAATTTCTTTTCCAATATCGGATCAATGGAACTTTTCTTAATATCTGAATTATAAAACAACACTTTTTGGGTGTTTTGGGTGTACAAATTGATACTCTTTCATACCTCACCACTTTCTCTCAAAACACATACTGTTTTAGACGAAATCTTGTAAAAGTTCGTTGAAAGAAAAGTCTTTTGTTGGTTGACTTTTATCCAAGTTTGTTGTTGTAATTTGTAAGTATTTGACTGTAGTAAGATTTATATTCACAATCTCCACTTCAAATAGTAATTAAAGTATGAAACGAGTACAAAATCTTGTATTCCTACACCCTTAAAAGGTTCATCTTTTCATTAGTGGATCATATTCGGAAGTGATTTCCAGCTTAAATTGTACTTATCATATTATATGTGAACCACACTAAATACTTTGTGTTATCGTATGGTCGTTTATTATTTATTCTCTTCTATTATGTATTCCTTATAACTTACATTCCACACATTTGTATCTAGTTTTTAAAATACAATATTCAAGTATTTGTATCATAAAGTATTACCAAGTGAGTTGCCATGAAAATAAGACAACAATATTAGTGTTACAAAAGATGACAAAATGTCTCCGCTTTACCATTCAACCTCTTGTTACAAGAAAAAAAAAATCTTAATTTATTTCTTCACGTTTGATCTCAAATACCTTCATTAGAACATCTCCAACAACCTAAGTATATCCAATTTAAACGAATTAAAAATTAAAATATATCAATATATGTGGAATTTCCTATATTTTAATTTTAAGACAAATCGATAAAAATATAAAACATAAGAGTTACCTTATCAGGAGTGGATGCACCAGATGTGACACCAATTGTTACATGTCCTTTCGGTAGCCAATTTCTCTTCTCAACACACTCACCATGCTATTAAAAATAACAAGGTTTTATTTAAACGAAACGAGATTAAATAAAAAATGATTTATTAAAATTATAAGATATTATTATTTATTACCATTAATTTATAAGTTATGTGATTTCCGGGACCCACTCTTTGTTCACTATCGACCCAATAAGATGGAATGCCACGATCCTCTGCGATTTCTTGTAGGTGTGAAGTGTTGCTTGAATTCCATCCACCAACCACCAACATAACATCCAAGTTTTCATCCACCAATTTATACATTGCATCTTGTCGCACCTAAATGTGGATTTTATTTATAATAAAATTCAAAAGAAGTTATAAAATTGGAGAGGATTGAGCAAGTTTCAAAAGGTGGGAATGTGGATTGTTGTCTGATATGCATGATATGCGTCTTATTGGGTCTAGTAAAAAGTTTGGTGACTCGGTCAGATTTAGATTTAGACTGTTTGATACCAGACTTAGAAGGCCTCTCTGACTCGGTCATGGCTCCACTGCGTATTCAGTGGCTAAGTCTTACTCTGATTTGATTCAATCAAGTCTGACTCAATTAACAACTATCAAACAATCATATATTTATCAATAATCTCAAGAGATTTATTTTTTTGTTAAAAAAATACTTTCTTTTCTTTAGATGTTGAAGAAACATGAAATTTTTTACTAGATAAGAGAGAAGCAATAACTTGAGTAGCTTCACAAATGGTGTTGAAACTTATGAAGTGATTTTTGATATTTTCTACTCCATATTTACGCATCATAGTCTTGTCTAGTAATTTCCCAATCTCCTCAGTTTCTCCTTTGAGCATTGTAGTTTGGTTTGCTACACCGGCTTTCACAAGATCCATATCTGGATTAAAATCCTTAGAAATTGCATATTTGAATTTCTGAAATTATATAATAATAAGGTTAATTGCAAGAAATAACAATGTAATTTCATTCATTTGTTTATTATACCTCAAGTAAAGCTTCTTTTGTTGAGCTAGATCCATTAAGTTCACCATCAAGAATGTAAGACAATGGATTAATGTTGAATACATATTAATTCAATAATGACTTTTTTAAATTAAAAAATATATATATATTAAGCATACCTCATCCATATTCTTCACAATGACATACTTTCCTGCAAAAGATGCTGTTGCTATGGTCTCTTCATGGGAATATTTCCCATGAATTATAGAAGTATAATCCCCTTTCTTGTGCTTTTCAACACTATTCCATACCTTGTAACCCCAAAAAAGAAAATATGAAAAATATCACATAAGGTGAAATAAACAAATAATAAAGAGAAAAGAAAAGAAATACCTTAGATACCCAAGGACATGCTGTATCTACTATTTGAACTTGTTTATTCTTCAAAGTCAACATCTCATTGACTGCAGCCCCAAAAGCAGGCAAAACCACAACATCTCCTTTATCAATCACATCAAACTGTTTCTCTCCATCTTTAATGGGGATGTCTTTAATCTCCATCTTTTCTAGCCTCTAGCGTTACAGAAATCAAGTTTTAAGAAAATTTGACACTGTAGATTAAGATACAGATGTAACAGGTCATGGCAAAATCAATCATAATAATACCTTATTAACAGTAGGATTGTGAATGATTTCGTTTGTGATCCAAATCTTCTCATCATCATACTGTTTCCTTGCTTCATAAGCAAGTCGAATGGCATGTTCAACACCCCAGCAAAAGCCATAAGCTTCTGCAAGCTTCACAGTAACATTTCCCCATGTGTATACGTAATTGTTCTCCTTCAATGTCTTTATGATATCACCTTACAGTAGATAAAACATTAACGATTGTTATAATAAACTGCAACTGCATAACCATCTTAGCTTCTCAGTATGACGCATATTGTAATTTAAACAGGTGATTATATCGCTACACTTTATAATGAAAATGTTTTCAACATAAATTCCTTGTTTTATTGTAGCAGTAGTCTTATGGCCTATTATGGAAATTCCAAGGAATGTACTGAAAAACAAAAGCATCAACTTGAAAGCGATGGCAGATAAGTAAGTTGATCACATAAAGAAATTTCAACATCAATTCACATTGATTCGATCGTATCTAAGTTCTAACAAGCTCTCATCGTTCAATTTGGACGCGATCGCAGATAAGTCAGTTGCTAATATGAACAAATCTCAACCTGGATGTAATTTGATTAAGTTCACATGAATCGATCATATCTAACAAACGCTCATTGTACGATTCAGGAAAAAATTGAACAAAAAATCAAACCAATAGCATAATTCTTACTGGTGTACTCTTGATTCATGAGGTCAAGAGTCTCCGCTTTACGCCCGAACCCTTTCCGGTTGTAGTTGTCGCTTCTAGTCAAATTATGACGAAAAACTTTGGCATCGAAGTCAGAGCTATCGGCCATCGACGGCGGAGAAGCATCTCCGTTAGAGCAGCGGACAAACAGAGGCTTTGGACACCGGGTGATTCTGACGTTCGGCGGAGATAGTCCGGTGCCAGTGGAGAAAGAGCTAAATCGAAGAGATGTCATTGGAAGGAATCGAGGAGGTTTGCTTGATGAGGTTTGTATTCATATTTAGCAGAGCCAACCATGGTGGAATATGTTTTGGTAGGAAAAGAGGAAAAAGAAAAACTGTGCCAACATCCTCCTTAATAAATAAGTATTTTTTTTTTTTTTTTTTTTTTTTTTTTTTTTTGCCACATGTCAATTTTTCATGAGTTTTAACACTTGTCATTTTGTGGTATTTTTGAAATAAATATTATTCATTTGTCAATTTTTGGTTTGTTTCAATTTTTAAAATTAATGTCATATATTTATATATGTAAAGTATTAAATATCATATATATTATATTAAATTGCAATAAATACGTTTCTTCCATTTTTATTTTAAAGTTGTACATTAAAAAATATTTTCTTTTTACATTTTAATGTTTACTCTTTTTTTAAATCAACCTGTGTAATATACGGTCTCACACCTACTAAAATATTAAGATGTGTATATCACAAAGATATGTTAATGACGAGGATCTTGGAAACGAAAAAATCTATACAAAAAGTAATATTTTACAAATTAAAGCAGCGAGAATGTTGAACATACACCCATGCATTGAGAGGAGTTGGAGAATTTGTTATTACAAGTTTTACGATTTTTACATGTTTTTACGATTTTATTTGATTTTTCTTTTGAAAAAAAAAAGTTGTAGAAAATGAATTTGTGAAATAAACTTTTTAAAAACAATAAATTTATAAAACGCATTTGTAAAAGAAACTAATTCTAAAAAAATATAAAAATATAAAAAGTTATAAAAAATTTAGGCAAATTTGTAAAAAGAAGTTGGACCGAATGGATAACAAAAATCTAAATTTGTACCAAAGTTATATTAAAAAAATTGAATAGCTTGTAAACTTTATATAGAGTATATATTAGGCTTGACAATTGGGTTGATTTCGGGTTTGCGAGTCAGAATACAACAACTCAACCCAATCCATATAATATATGTGTTGACGTGTTTAGAGATGCAAAACGGGGGTGGATATTGGCGGAGACTGCAATATCCGTCCCCGTACCCGACTTCCGATCCCAGACCCATCCCCGCCCCTGCCCCGCCAAATGTCCGACGGGTTCGAATGAAAATATCCCCGACGGGTACGGGGAACCCAACGGATACCCATGTTTTATAAAAAATCATAAACAATTATAACATCAATTACACTTCATTCTCAAAAACATTAAATTAAAAAATTATCATGACATTCTTAAGTTTGTTGATAAACTAAAATAACAACGAATTAAAAAAATCATTCTTAACTTTGTTGACGAACTAAAATAAAAACTACAAGTATAAATATCAATATATCACTTCCAAAACATTGTAGTAGCAGCATATGAACTTTTTTGTAGTGTCTGATAGTCACGAAATAAAATTATCGCATAAAAAATCACCAGTTCAATCATTGGAAAACTAAAATCGTTCCTCTTTATTTTAAAAGTCATAAATAACTTGATTTAAGTTCCATAAACAAGGTGCAATACAACGACGGTTCAATACACTAAATTCTTGTAAATCAAAAGTTCCATTGAATACTAAT